AACCAAGGCACCCGGGTTAGCCACGCCATCTCTGACGGGTCTCTCTACAAAACCAGTGACGACGTCATCACATAGAACCAACACCGAACATCAGGAAAAAATACGAGAAAAATCGACAACACAGATCAGATATAAATATTTGTCCGTGCGCCACGGGTCGATGTCGCCCGCATGCTCCGGTGCCGCTGCTCCGTCCGGCGCCGCTGTAGTCAGCCCGAGCATAACGCCACTCGACCTGCTCCGTCCGTACACGCTCCCGTTGCTGTCCTTCCCAGTCGGTTCCTCGCTTTCTCCCTCGTTGCACTCAAGGTTCTTGGTCTGAAAAATAAAAATTCTCGCGCCGAAGGGGTCAACCAGCCCAGTTCAGCTCGTCGCCACCTGCTCCCTCCTCCTTTGATGGCGAAGCCAGTGATGTACATGATGATCCCCACAATAGTTGTTCGAGGACCAAATCGATTTGAGGCCTTCCTGAAAATTCGTGGTTTCATATAGGATTTTCAGGGGGGTGTTTTTGGGGAGGGTGGAATTTCAAATCTGGCATTTCAGCCACTACGGACTCCATGTACACGAAAAAGAAAACAGCGAGGTGTTTTAACGCGGGATATGCCCTGTTCAGAGGCCTAGAATACTCGATTTTTTTTTGAGTTCTCCTGACAGATATAAGACGTTTTTCTGTAGGGGGGGTCGGGAAAATGGATCCACTTCTTCTGCGTGAGGGCGCCACCGTTAACAGCGATTCTTCATTCTTCGTGCCTCTTCGTGCCTCTTCGTGCTTAGATCGGTCAGGACTCGCTACGCTTGAACCGTGAACGTCAAGCTTTGTGCCACGCTTGAAAAATGCAGTGTTTTTTGTTAAATATATACGTACGTATCCGGTATAGAACTACATAGAGTACGAAAAACACGAAACATACACGAACCGTGTTTCACGCCAAACCAACGACAGACAGCGAACGAAACTACTTGCACGAGCAGTATATGTATTCGCAAACGCCCCCACATCAGCAGTCCTATCTTACATATACGCACGTCTACGTACGTAGGGTTAATAAACTCAGACGGCGCCGGCTTGCGGTGCGACCTGTACTCTCTCCTCTTCTGCACTGCGTCGGGGCCCGTATGCTTCTCGGCGTACACCGAGTGGAAGTTGGCCACCTTCCTGCAGTACTGCTGCATAATATCTAGACTCAGACGGTCGTCTTCCACCGCATAGCTCTTGGTTACGTTCTCCCGCAAGCACTGAATGGTGTACTTGCAGTGCCGGCGTACCCAGTACTTCGATCAACCCCACACTAGCTCGATCGGGTTGAGTTCGCAGTGGAACTTGGGAGGCATGATTGCAACACCTCTGCAGCGCTTGACAAGCACCATCAGGCTGGGATCGACATTCTTGAAGTCGAGCTGCTTACTACCCAACACTGTTTGCGGCCTACGCCACTTATTTATCGGGTGAGACTGTTTTGGTGATGTATTAACTTCACGGGAGGTAGACGACCATCCTTCACACGGACGAAAGAGGGAGTGCTCAAAGGGGAGCTAACCACAGTGTATCAGGTACATGTGTGCTACATTGGCACACCTACATGTTCGCCGATCAGTCCTCTTCTGGTCATTATATGCCGTGGTTCCCCGCCATGCGGCGATGACGCATGTTCAAGAGACACACATCATGCACTCCGGGTTGTTTTTGCCGGCGCCAAGTACGATCGGCACGCCTCACCTACAGCTGGTTAGATATATTTCCTCTGGCAGCATCACGTAAAGCTCTGTGTGTGTGAATAAGCGCGCACACGCCCGTCAACGAGTGCTGTAACTTCGAGAAACCGACGGTCGTGCCCAGTCTACCCGAGGGAAAATACCCACATCAACGGCATGACACCATCTACTGAGCACAAGCGCTCCTGTATTGTTCAATTGTCACCCACGCAGCAGCGGTACACAGCCATCGACGGCAGCACACAGCCATCGGCACACAGGCACACACCACACAAGCGCACAAGCGGCAGCCGTTGCGTTTTTTTATGCTTATAGATCTATATATCATATCTGCGATAATTGCAGAGAGATTTCAACCAACTCTTTCGGCGATTTTATGCGGCGAGATCAAAGTGTTTTTTTTTTTTGGCCCCAAATTTCGGGGCATGGGGGTGGCCCCGAAACTACTTGAAAAAAGACTTTGGGGCGGATGCGCAGTCGCCGATTTTAAGAACCCCTCAAACACCTTCCCGACCCCTGACCCACAATCTGACCCGCGGAATCGGTTCCTTGTGGATAGAGGGGACTAGGAGTGCTTTTTCAGAGCTTAGCCGGTACAGCAACACCCTAAACCTGAACCACGGACACTCGATCGCGGAAGGCGCACTAGGTAGGCACAGCACACCAGACAGGCTGCGAACCACGACATGCTGTCTGCTGTACACGGCTTTGATGGTTCTCTCCGCCAGCTCTCGTGAGGGCTTGACCAAGCTGGTCACCAGAGTTCAACAAGAACTCGACGAGCCAGCTCGGGGACATCAAGAAGCACCTTTAAACAACGAGCCTCTGTCTCACGATTTCTGGAAAGGCATTGAAGAGCTGCGGAGTTTGAGGTCTTCCGATATCCTTACTTTGGAGGAGCATGTGCAGCATCTCAGGGCCCCAGCATCTCAACGAACATGTGGCGTCCCACCGTAAGAAAAAGACCCCGGTGCCAACCCCTCCTGAATCGGCTGCTGGTTCAAGCGCACAGCACTTCGTAGGGCAGAAGCGAAAGGCATCATCGTCTTCAACAGCATCAGCCAAGAAAAAGGGGAGGGCAGCATCCAACCCGCCGGCAGGGACCCACAACATCATCAATGCCTTCGCTAAAGGCAGTGGCAAACCGGTGCGTAGAATATGTATGTGTGTGCCGACGTGAGGGTCTCGGGCGATACTTGAAAATGTATTCATCACAGCATCACGCCACCGAGATGCGGACAGACCAGTTTTTTTTTCTAATGTTTTTTTGTTTTCTTTCGGTGTCCAAAATACACATTTATTTGCGTCCACATGTATGTATTGTTGGCATTGAATGCCTGTGTTGTTAGTGTCTCTTTCGGTTTGCGTGAGTTGTTCTGCTATTCTTTGTCTTCGATTTGCGTCATCGCGGTGCTCCTGTGAACCACGTGAATGATCCCAACACTTAGTCTAAAATTATTGTTGAAATGCCGCATAAAAATGGTTTTTTGCACGAAAAGTTTACGTACTTATTAAAGTCTAAAATTACCCAACAGTACCTAACACCTTTCGTCTGCACCTTCCCAACATAACATATATGAGACACACAAGACAGCTACCAAACTGATTTGTTGAGCCTGTTACCCACAGGGGAGATGTCCCTATATGCTGTCTGGGAAATCGTAGACACACAGGTAGTTTTCTCTGACGCTATGATTCCATTGTTAATCTGTCTCTGACTCTTTTCTATGATAGAGATGGACTCGTTGTGTCATATTAAGAAAAATAAAAAATAAAAAAAATATTGTTGCCACATAAAAATGGTTGTTGAGCCACGTACTTCTTACGTACTTATTAAAGTCTAACATTACTGTTGAAATACCGCATAAAAATGGTTTTTGAGCCACGTACTTATTACTGGCAAGAACAGTCTGTAGCAGGAAGTCGCCAGCGTGCCTCCGTACCAGGGTCGCCTCTTTTTTTGGCAACCCTTTCCGACATGCGTCTTCTTACATGCTGCTGTGCTGGCCTTACCCGCGGCAGCACTCTTTGTTGAACGAGCTTATGTTGCTATCTTTCAAATAACAATCTCATGCCGAAGGGTTGCAAGAGGAGCAGTAGCATACCCGGGCAGCGATGCATGAAGTCAGCTACGCACGAGCGTCGACGGCAGCAGCGAGCCGGGCAGGAGGAGTGTTGCCGTCCGTTTGAATTTGAACCCCCCCCCTTCCGTACGGTGTTTGCCATCGGGATTGGGTTTTCGTCGCTTGGCAACGACGTTGTAAAACAAGCCAATTCACTTCGTGAACT